TTGTTTTAGGCTCAACGGATCATTTAAAAATCAAACTTAGCTCATTAGTCCACCAAAAAACCTAAAAAGTAGAAATATACCAAACCATTTTGTTAGATTTTCCAAACCTTTAAGTAGGTTAGCATATTCTTATTATATATCTATTATATTTTAATTTTATGTAGAAATTATGATAAAAAGAAGTTATTCGGCGCACCATTGTTATTTCTTATTATATATCTATTATATTTTAATTTTATGTTAGTATACATATAATTTAGTATTTGTACACATATAAGTTTATGAATATTAATATGTGTTCTCTACACTCAATACTCTTGTATACTTTTAAGAATAAGTACTAAGAATATTTTAAATATATTTTTATTTTTCAACCTTTTAAAACATCTTTAAAGAAAAAAATTGTGAAAGAAGATTTAATTTTCAAAATTAACTCTGATGTTATCTTAATAGACTTATAAATACCTATTATTGATTTCATAAAATAATGTTCATAGATACATTCATATAAAAAGGCTAAGATCATATCTCCTAATTAATAAGAAAATAAATAATTGTGATAATAATATCTCAATATTTCCTTTTGAAGCATGAAGATCTTGAATGTTTTGTTTAAACTAAAAAAAAGTCTTTATAAAAATACTATTTATACCTTGATAAAAACATGAGAGACAAATGATGCCAGAAGTTACTTTATTACGAGAAAAATGATAATTAATTTCAGTATGTGTTGTTTTTTTATGAAAAACTGAATTCTGAATTGATCATCACATACAATTACATCCTGTCATAAAATAATTTTTTTTATACAAAAAGAATAAAAACCTAAATATGCATTTGTTATCTATTATTAATATTAGTGAAATACATGTGTACGTGTGTTAACTTTTTTATCATAGATAGTTTTCATTTATTTTGTAAATGATTTTGGTTTATTTAATTTTATAAAAATATTAAATTAAAAAATAGTTAAATAAAAAAAAACTTTAATTTTATTTTTTTTAAAACCACACTTAGATGGTAAAGTTGGAAAAAAAAGAATGAAAAGCAAAAAGAGGAATCCTCTATATATAATAATATAGAAGTACAGATATAATTCATGTGGTTGTTCCTCTATATATAATAATATAGGAGAACAGATATAATTCATGTGGTTGTATTACAAAATATTTCCTAATTTCTAATATGACATATATAATCATTTATCTCTTATTTACAATTATATTTATCAATTTACAATATATAATCTACAATAGTCTGAAGCTCTAAATGGATAAATTAAATGAAATGATTTTTTTTCTCAATAAAAAATAATTATATAATAAGTTTAGTTTAGAAAGTAGTTATTAAAGAACAAATAATTCTCATTTTAAAAAAATTACACTAGAAATATATTAATTGTATTGAATGTTATATTCTCTATGCTAACAAAATTACATAATGCACACTTAATTGAAACAATTAGTCAAGCACTATTAGGTAAACATGCTAGTGCGTAATAGGGTTCGGCATGATATCATAAAAGATGAAGGCAACATAATTTAAATGAGTTTAGCAGTCGTTATCACAAAGTTTTTATGCATTTCAATAAAATTATTTTAAGAAATGCAATATAAATATATTCGCCTATAGCAAGTATTTTAATTTTTTTAATATTTCAAAACTATACAGTATTTTATACAGTAAATATAAAAAATAAATATTAATTGAAATTTATTTTATATTAATTTTATTTAAGTTAGTTAACATTTTTATACATGAATTTTATTGAAAAAAAAGTCTATATATATCTTCTTAATTTTATTCGTTTCTCACACTTAGATACTTGTTATTTAGAAAATAAAAAATGTATATATTTCTCTTTATTTTTATGGGATATTCATATAAATACTATTCTTAAAAATAAAATCCGAGAAAGGTATGTAAAGTTTTAGTAACCAACTTCTCTTAGATTAACAAAACTTAAGCGTAATATCAAGGATATCAATGTAATTATTCTTAAGTAAACAATTTTTTTTAAAAAAAATTATACATTTTTAATTCGACGATACTTGTTATTTATAAAAAAAATGTGTATATTTATCTTATTTTTGTGGACAAATATTTATATTATATCTTCTTAATTTTATGCATTTCTTACCGGTCAATACTTTGTTATTGTAAGCAAATACATATGTCTCTTATTTTTATTGAAATTTGTAAATATTAATGAAAAATTAAAGAAAGAAAAATAATATTTAATTTAATAAGTAATTAATTAAAATATTAACTATATTTAATATAAAATATTAAGAGATATGTATACAAAAATACTTTTTATAATTAAAAGTGTTAGGAAAAAAAATCATTCCAAATAAAATAATTAATATGATATTCCGATCAAATTGACTCATAATATCGCAAATATCAAATGCTTCATGGAGAAATCTATTAAATAATCTATATTCACTTAGCCCATACTTATTCTTAAGAACATTCATGTGTAATAAAGAAGGAAAATTATAAATTAATGAGAATCTTGCTTTATATTGGTTCACATTGGCTAAATTATCTACACATTTATCTTCTTTTCTAAAACCGTCTAAAAGGTTAAAATTCAAACATTTACTTATGTTAAGACAGCAATTTCATCTATTATATTATAATACTATTAGAATTTTTAAAAGAAAATTCATTATAAAATTTATTTCCAACTAGAGCTGTAAAAATGGGTTATAACCCACAGACTAATTCGGCTCACCACGTGTTCGAGTTAGGTTTAAAAACAAAAATTTCAACATGGTTCATTTAAACGCGACTCATTTGGGTTACTAACCCACCTAATTTATTTTATTAATTTATTATCTTATGAAACCCTAAAAAATATCATCCTATTTTGTATTGTCTTGAGTTTAACACATTTTGGGAGTGAAATTTATTTAGATTTGAATTATAAAAAGTTTATAGCTTTTTTTTATTTAAAAAAATTGTAATTAAGTGAATTAGTGAGTCAACCCGTTTAACCGACCAATTTGTGATGGGTCGAGTCGAATTTGAATTTTTATAACTCACTAAATGAGCTGGATTAGGTTGGTCACTTAATAGATTACAATTAGATTAGATATTTGAACCGTATGTTTGAATTTTTTAAATAAAAATATAATTATAAAGAAAAAGACTATATATTATATGAGGATTAAACATATTTTCATATAAAAGAAGTGTATTGTTAAGGAGAGATTGAATATTTTTCTTTAATCTGGAGGTATTAGTTGCTTCATATCCAGTTTATCTTAACTAAGTCAAACGTGAGAATTAGCGTAATTAACAATAATATGTCTTTCACTAAAAGAGTGGAAAGGGATTTAGTAATCTTCAAAAAAAATCTTTAATGTATCACCAATAAAACCTATCATGACCAAGAAAGTTTCTAACCTCCTTTACATTTGTAGGAGGTGACAATTTGTCTGTTCAGATGTGAAGAAAATAGTAAGAGTGATAGAGAATGAAAGGTTTTAAGCTTTTCTGGGTGAATGTTTGGTGAAGGTAACTCAATATTTTTAAAATAAAATTAAAATAATCAAACAAATTATATAAATAGATAATACAATTTATTAATATAGATAAAAAAATGGTTTAAAATGTTATTTTATTTACTTAAGGAGAAGCCCTAGTAATATAACAATTTAGGATTCCGAGTCCTAAATACTAATAAGCAGGGCTAGCATCTATCTGTAATTTATTTTATACTTTTATATTCTTGTAGCGTTTTCTTTCATTCAGGGATATTTTGAAATGAGATCGATTACATTTGGAAATGTTCATTACAGAGGAACGTAGGGGGTGGCGTAAGAAATTTAAAGGATGTTTAGGCCCAATAATAAGTGTGTAAATAAAAGAAGAAAATACAGAGGGCTTGAACCAAGCCAGCCCATTTTACTTAACATAGGGTGAAGGAGTGATGAAAGTGACAGAAATCAACCACTTTGAATAAAAAAAAGAATCAAGCCCCAATTCTGAGAGAAATCAATACTTGTCGTTTTTTACTTTATGCTATGCTATTAAAATTAGCATAGAAAAATAAGGGGAAATCCTGTCGTTTTTTTTTAAATAATCAAAATAACTGATATCAGACAATTTGTCAAATCCTATAAACAAATTCAGCACATTTTGTTATTATACTTCATTCAGTAACCTTGTAAGTGCATTATTATTCTCAAACCCCTCATCAACTCAATTATAGAAAATAGAATTGAAAACATAAATTTTTCATTTCGTTAGATCATTTTTAGATCTAACCAAGTAAAATAAATGAAACATAACAACTTGAATAGCATATTGTAAACAAAAACTGGCAAATCATAATTAACATTGTTAAATGTTCTTGTGCTGGTTTTTCCTAACCAGCGTCATGTTCGAAATGTGAGAGTGTCTATCATCAACTGCAGAATACTAACTATAAAGCTTTTGTTCTTGTTTCTTCCTACTCTTAATGAAATGAAAACATTCACGAGGAAATAACTGTTTTTTCCTACTCAACAAATATTTTCTTTTTCCCACTCATAATTTTCTTTATTTCATCTTTTGTTTTTCCCGGAACATTCTCATTCCTTTTTGTCTTACATTTGTATGTAATTAGACTGATAAAACTAAAGATGGGTAAAAAATACCAATTCAAAACGATGAATACAAATCTTTCTAGGGCTTGGTTCCTCTCATAGGACTGTACATAGAATGATTTCCACCATAGTTAAACTAACGAAACGCAAGTGTATTAATTGAAAATCTATTAGAATTTAGATAAACGGTTTACTTAATTCTACACTAAACAAAATATAAAAAATGATACGAAGAACACAAATAGAGAAAAAGAATAAATTAACAAAGGAAAGCAATAGTAGACCAAATAAATCGACAAAGGTATTACATATATTATGCACTGAGTGCTATAGAACAAATGCCTTAATATCTAAAGGTACACAAAACATTACACAGTTGGAGGCAGCATCATGTAGTAGTACTCAGTCAGAGGTTACCACAAGAAATATCAAAACGGCTGCAATAACGACTGGAAACACCATAAGCAAAGGAATTCCTGGTGGTGTAGAAGTACCCATCAGAAGTGGGCCAACCAGAAGAATGGCTGCAATGATCAAAAATATCACAACTGAACCATGACCCCATACTTCAGGTTGCCTCATTTTTTTCTTAGAAAAAATAAGACAAAATCTGCAGACTATGTTCTAAAATATGTTGGTGAAATGGAAAGAAATAACTTAACGGTGTATGCAATGTTTGTGTGTTGTGACCTATATATAGAGTTGGAGAGGTGAAGTTTATTGGTGGCGGTTGGCGAAAAGATGAGCGGATAAAAGCGGTTGGCTATGGCAATTGCAATGTTTGGTGTTGGCTATGAAAGGATACGACTGGAACAGTCTCAATTCTCCATACTAATTCCATATCTAACTCATAAATAAAATGGAAACAATTTAGTGCTTCCAAAATAAATTAACTACTTATTTTAAATTTTAATTATGATATACTTTATATTAAAATAATATGTTTTTACTATAAATTTTAGTTGCATAAGATCAATATTTATTATTTGCATGGTTCATGGTAAAATGGGGTCAGTTTAGTTAATTTTATTTTTATTTTTTTAATGTATTTTATATATTTATAAATAAATTAAAACATATTAATTGTATAAATATTTTCTAAGTTTTTAATTAATTTATTAATATTCTTAATTAAATGAATTACAATATAATTATCACATTTACCTGTTAAATTATCTATTATAACTAAATTCTACCATGATGCCATGTAGATTCTACCCTTTTGCTGGAGGTAAGTTGATCGAAAGGATTCGGAAAATGTGTTTTGAGAAAGTTGTTCACATATATGGAAGTTAGCTGGTTCGATAAGCTGAACATTCAAGTGGGTGCACTTGGTTCGCTGGTTCAAAATGTTTCAGCCCCATTTATATATATATAGTTAAATACTATTATCTCCTTTGTATGAAAACCACCTTGGTAGAGTAGAAAAGCAACCATTGCAGCAGTAAGTTGGGTTACCTCAGCTGCACCAGGAGTTTCAAATCGAGCATACCACTGCCATAATGGAACTCATGCATGGCTATGTAGCCTTCTTTGGTTGGACTAACAAATCAATTTTTTTATCACTATACCAACACGGGCTTTGAACGAGAGGTTCACCGATCCTAGTTCTTTGCAATATACCACATACCAATTTTTTTATCACTATACCAATTTTTTTATCACTATACCAACATGGCTATGTTAACTAATTCTTACTACATCCATCCAATTACGGCTAAGGACTTATGAGTTTAGAGATTTAGAGTTTAAGATTTAAGGTTAAGCTTCGGTTTAGGAATTTTGTTTAAAGGTTAGGGTTTATGAGTCAGGGTTTAGGATTTAGGGTTAGGTTATATTTTAGGGTTTAGAGTTAAGGTTTATGGTTAGAGTTAGGGTTAGGGTTAGGGTAATGGTTATGGTTAGGGTTAGGGTTTATGGTTAAAGTTAGGGTTAGGTTTACGGTTTAGATTAGGGTTTAGGATTTTGGTTTAAGGTTAGGGTTAGGATTAAAGCTTAGGGTTAGGGTTAAGGTTTAGGGTTTAAAGTTAGGGTTTAGGGTTAAAATATACAATTTAGGGTCATGTATTAAGTTTTGGATTTAGGGTTAGGGTTTAGGGTTAGGGTTTACACTTAAAGTTAGGGGTTAGGGTTATGGTTAGAGTTTATTGCTAAGGTTTTAGGTTTTATAATTTAGGGTTATGGTTAGGGTTAGATTTAGGGTTTACGGTTTACAATTTAGGATTTAAGGTTTAGGAATTAGTGTTAAAGTTAGGATTAGGGTTAAAGTTTAGGGTTTGTGGTTTACGGTTAGAATTACGGTTAGGGATAAGCTTAGGGTTTAGGGTTTTTGGGTTAGAGTTTATGGTTTAAGGTTAGGGTTTGGGTTTAAGGGTTAAGGTTAGGGTTTAGGGTTAGGGTTTAGGGTTAGGGTTATGGTATGTGTTTAGGGTTTAGAGTAGGGTTAGGGTTTGGGTTTAAGGTTTAAGGTTAGGGTTTAGGGTTAGGGTTATGGTATGTGTTTAGGGTTTAGAGTAGGGTTAGGGTTTACAGTTTAGGGTTTAGGGTTTACGATTTATGGTTTAAGGTTTAGGGCTTAAGGTTTATGGTTTAGGGATCAGGGTTCATGGTTTATGGTTCACGGATTAGGTTTTAGGGTTTAGAGTTTATAGATTAAGGTTTAGGGTTTGGGGTTTAGGGTTTGGAGTTCGGTGTTAAGGGTTCAGGGTTTGGGGTTTATGGTTTAGGATTTATGGTTTAAGGTTATGGGTTTAGTGTTTATGATTTATGGTTTAGGGTTTGTGATTTAGGGTTTATGGTTTATGATTTAGAGTTTAGTGTTTAGGGTTTATGGTTTAGGGTTTAGAGTTTATGGTTTATGATTTTCGGTTTAGGGTCTAGGGTTTATGATCTAGGGTCTAGGGTATAGGGTCTAGGGTCTAGGGTTGAGGGTTTAGTGTTTAGGGTTTAGGGTTTATGGTTTATGGTTTACGGTTTCGGGTTCAGGGTTCGGCCTTTGGGGTTTACGGGTTTGGGTTTTTGGGTTTGGGTTTGGGGGTTTTGAGTTTTGGGTTTTGAGTTTTGGGTTTAGCATTTTTGATTTTGAGTTTAGGGTTTATTGTTTAGGGTTTAAGATTAGAGTTTGATTATGTATATACATATACGTACATACATTGTAAAGTGTCTATATAATATAATATATATATATTATATATATATATATATATATATATATATATTAGTGTTACATAACGCCTGTCTTCAACATATAATAATAGAAATATAATCCTGGTGGTGTAGAAATATAAAAATACCGATAATAAAGGAAGAACTTTATGGAAAACTTGAAAACCTAACTTTATAAGAATGGGTACGAACTGAAAACATGAAACTGAAAACAGAATTGACCGTTCAAACATATTTTGGATATGAAAACAATATTGAAACACAATTAAAACAAAGATTAGAATGCAGAATTTAAAAATCAAAGAACAGTGGCCAGAAAAGTTTTAGCTAACTTTCTAATTTTTAACAATTATAAATCGAAACTTTTATGAAATGATTAGAACAGATATACTAACATGAAAACAAATTAAGGAAAAAATTTGCAATGAAAAACATATTATAAAACTGGAAACCAAGAAATGGGTTTATAGAATTAAATAAATGAAAATGGGTTTTTTAAATCTAAAACCGAAGTTGAGTTATGATCATTCAACCTTTATTGACTGCCAATGATTCATTTCTGAACTATTGGAATACAGTGATCATTTCAGATTCCAAAGAACTCAATTCTTGGTTGAAAAACTGAGTCTAGCAAAGTGCACAGATGAAAATCAAGTGATCATTCCTAAAGATTTTGATTCTAATTCAAAACTAAAAAATGGGTTTTGATTTATTATGTGTAAAATGTAAATTGGCGTAACTGTAAATTGAAATTGTAAATGAATAAAGTCAAACAGACCAACAACAAAGCAATGCAAGAAAATCAGAAATTGAATTGGATTAAGAACTGAGTATATAGAACCTGGTTTAGAAGTACAAAATACAATGACGTTCTTGATTGCTTTGCTAACTTCGTAGTCTAAGATAGTAAGAGACACAGAGAAAATGCTCTCCCAAAACCCAGAAAACGAAAACTAAAAACTAAAAACTAAAGAAATGTTTGATGTGTATTCTAATGTTGTGATGGTGTGTGGTTCGATCAGGGCCTTTAATATAGGCAGAAACTCTATTAGACCAGATCCTGTTTTTTTCAAGATTTTATTCACTAATCTAAACTAACTCAGCTTTTGTTAGTAAGTCTTCGACTTCTTAATCCAAGCGTTTTAAGTTCACTCTTCGTGCAGTTTTAATTTATTAACAAATACATATATAAACATGAATAGTTTTAATGAATGTTTTTAAATTTCATATCTTTTATCTTATCATATAATATATATATATATATATATATATATATATATTATATAAATAATTTATTTTAATTTAGAAATTATTTTAGGTTAATAGGCAATTTTGGAATTTTTGTTTAACTTCTTGTCTTGAAATTGAGGATACAAAAATGAGAATGTAAAAGTGTTTGTGAAATTTGTGAAAAAGTATTCTCAAACTACACAATTTTTTTGCTGAGGTAATAATGAGTACTTTAACTCATGAAGTTTGATAGTTTTCGTATTATATACGAACATGTGATAGACATAACAAACATCGCAATAAAACTCAAGTTTCATTAAATGGAAGTGGATAAAAGTTTTCTTATTCAATTCATCTTAAACTTGTTACCATGGTCTGTCTCAAATGAATTATAACACTATGAAAAATAAATGGTATAATTTAAAATATGTGAAATTTGAATATGCATCACCGCCACCACCAATTCTTGGGTGCAGGAGGAAACAAGTAAGGATGAAGAAAGCAATTTCCTAGATTTAGGAATTCCTGTGGGCTGATTTGGAAAATTTTGTCAATTGAACTAGGACATTTTTTTTCCTGTACACTCCTTGGGAATGGAATGGTGAAATGAAGCATTTTGTCCTGTATTTTTTTCAACTTTATCTTTTTTCTCTTCTTACACCATTATGCACCCCTAAGGCTAAGGAACCCTATAATTCCCAAATTTTGTAATCAAATTATCACTCATAAGAACCCTATACTTTCACCCTCACAAAATCTAACATCAATTTGTGGATATCTATCATCAATCTATAATGCTTGTTCGCAATTCGATCTCCAAGCAGTAATTACAATCTTCTATGCCGTTCACTATAACGAGCTGCACTGTCTGAAGCCTTTCTTCATTGTTGTCAAATATGTTACTTAGCCAATAAATTCAATCGAGTATTGACCTGAAAAATACATGTCATATATATAATTTATAATACGAACTCCCATTAATCATAGATTAAATTTAGAATTTTTAAATTTATAGAGATGAGGTTGCAGAAAGAAGTGTCCTTGATTATAAAAGTATAATTCTCGTAATATTCCTTCCCACAAATCTACTTGTTTATTTTTCTTGTTTCTTCTTTGGATTTTTCACCCTCTTCAAAACCATCTATTTTATATACTTTTCTCGATTTTTTTATGACTTGGGTGTCAAA